ATATATATATATATATAGAGTATAATTCTTTAAGCTCCTGCATTAGACCCCAATGCCCGAGTCCCAAGTCCTATACCCATCTGAAGCTCAAATCCACCCGCATTCCTCTCGTCGCTTCGCGGCTGTAAGTGTCTAGGGGTTACCTTTGACCCCCTAAAGAACCCACAGGCTCCCGTACTACTGTTGATGATATATAAATCCTGCAGCACCTTGGGGACCCTAAACTACGGGAATTCTGGTATGTTTGCAGGATTGGTATGATTTTGTGTTATAGAGTTCCTTGCAAAGGTGAGGTTTTGGGGTTGGTTAAGGTACCTGTTCATAAATACTTTTCGGGGCCCCAAAAACTACAACCCATTTATAGAGTGCCTTGCAAAGGTAAGGTTTTGGGGTTGGTTAAGGTGGGGTCGGATCCCAGGAAATCTTGACCCTACCACACTCCAGAACGAGGCCTGGGGGCGGGGGGCGGCTTGGGGTTAAGGGTTGAGGGGTTTAGGGTTTAGGGCAAAGTTTAGGGTTTAGGGGGAGAGAGCATGGAAAGATCCGAGCCCAACTGCCGGGTTAGGGATTTTCGCGTGTAGGGGGTGTTCAAAGGATTTCGTCTCCTTTGTGTTTTGGGTTGACCAGTTCTCTAGTTTAGGATCCTATACAAACAAGTAAACCACAAAGGAAGAAGGATGGAGACTGTAGTTAGTTCCTTGAGGTTGGTTGCCAGGCTTTCAATCACACGTTGCCCCCTAGCCCTAAAACCCTAAACCCCAAACCCTCAACCCTACTGAAGCCTCAAACCCTAACCCTAAGCCCAGCGGCCAAGGAGCATTGAGCATGAATCCTAGGTTGTATTAGGGAGACCCCTTAAAGGGGACCCTTCTAAACCCTACTTGTGGCTCTCTTAAAGGGGACCTTATTGAGAGGGTCTATATCCCCAGGGGTCCCCCTAATCCTAACTCCCAATGAACCGCTGAGACTTTTGGGCTCTGGGGGACGAGGGTTCTGGAATCTTATCTTAGCCGGGGGGAACAAGAGGCGCTTTAGGGTTTAGGGTTTAGGGTGTTCAAGCCCCACCGCCTCTTTTTCGAAACCCCAGCAGCAGGGAGCATGAGCACTGGATGTCGGGCCTTTAGAATTTCGGGAACTGCCACGCACATAGCGCTTCTAGCAGGACAGCCGGAGTCGTGTGGCACAAAGCCCTTCTAGATACGGGTCTGAGCAATCAAAAACAATGGTATTAAGAGTAATGGTTAGAAGAAGAAGATACTCGTATAGTCGCTAGACATGATTATACTAGCTGTAAGTATAGCCCACAAATCCTACCCCTACGAATGTGTCTTACTTTGTTGTTATTTTCTGGCCCCCCTATATTACCTTTCTGTCTTGAAGGGTTCCGTACCTGAGTTCCCTAAACCCTAAACCCTAACCGCTGCCTCCAGGTTGACTTCCTGCGTGGCTGCTTTATGTCCAAGAGCCCGGCCGTTGTTGTGGAGCAGAGTCTAACCTGATGTCATGGGGCATAGGGTGGGTTTATGATGGAAATGCCGTTTCGGACCGAAGGAAGTTTGGCAGGCTTTTGGAACGCAGTCAGTTCTTGCATCTAAGAGAAACTGGTCAGGAAGAGTTCCCCTAGAGTTAGACCTCGTTAGACCCTCAGATCTAAGACCTAAACCCTCAGCCCCTAATTCTGGTATCGTGGAAGGGACACTGCGAAGCCTGGAGGTTTCCTATACCCCTGCAGCCATGGAGGAATGGTGACTTGGATTATTGTCTGTGAATCATGATGAGATGCTGTGGGCAAGTGTTACAGTAACGTGTCAGTCCTGAGGTTCCAGGGTGGCAAGATCAAGGGGATGTCGGAGAAGAACATCTCCAAATGCCTGAAAATCCACAAGCGGATGACCAGTGCCGATTACCGTGTCCAGGAGTTGATCGGTTTGTTGGATGACATATTCGGTTCGCGCCACATGTGGCAGGCCAGGAGACAGTCTCACATGATCTTCTGCTTTGGGCTACCGAGCATTTCAAGATGGATGCGGACCGTGGAACGGTTCCGCCTGATGCGGCAAAGGCACCCTTTGCCCTGAGTATCTCCAGGGCCTTGCTGAAGAAGCGGATTGTCAATTTCTTGCACAATAAGTTTCCACCTCCTAGTGTTATAACCCTGATTACTGGCAACCTCTGGCCTGGGTTCCAGGAATTATTTCTGTGCAAAAAGAGTGAATCCACTGCCACCGGAATCTGTGAAAAATCTGTGGAAAAAGAGTGAATCCCGAAATCATGACCTCCAAGATCTGTGAAAAATCTGTGAATCCTGGCTTGCAGAATCTGTGAAAAATCTGTGAAAAATCTGTGAATCCTGGCTTGCAGAATCTGTGAAAAATCTGTGAAAAATCTGTGAATCCCTGGAGGACATTTTTTGCATCTGTGAATCCTTGGCCTCGGACGTCACGTGTCACGCTGTCACGTGTCGCCGCGCTGCCCCGCGGCCATCATCACTCAGGTCCACATGCGCAGCGGCAGACCAGCTGCTAGCACTGCTAGCAGCCAGCAGTAGTGAGTTTAATATAGTCACGTCATAGTCATGATTTCAGCTTGTAATTGCAGTTACTTGCGTGCCTGTGCACCTCCAAACTTGTCCCCATGGATAGTTTCCATCCATCGTTCGACTTGTTGAGCCACGCGTTCGAGGAGGAGGAGAATGTGCTGAGCCAACAAACGTCCAGTGCTGAATTGATCCGCACGCCTTCAGAGTCCTCAGAGGATACTGATCAGGCAGATCACAAATGGCTTCCCATGCCGTTCTGGGCAAAGCTTTTGCGACAGCACTTGCCGCAGAGCCGTGAACCGGACCACAGCAAGCCCATCACCGTAATCTCTGGCTGTACCGGAGCTGCAGCAGAGATTGGTGTCTTCGAGGCAGGGTAGGGCAGGATCAATCTCTTTAGTCTGTTGTCTATTTATTTCTACTTATTAGGCTTATTAATCAGATCAATCAGTGTACAGCATGTTGAGTATATTGGCTCAACCAACTGGCTCCAACTAGGAAACTAGGACCACCTCGAAGAGTGCTCACTGTTCAATGTCATCCAATCATATTGTCGTTTCCGTGAAGCTTATTGAAGTGTAGTCGCCAAAGCCGGGCCTTGCAGGCGTTGCGCCTCCCGTTTCTGGTGATGAGCGCATCAGATCCGAACGAGAAATGCTTGTCCTTCGTGACGGAGAATTACCCGAAGCACACACCCACACACTGGTTCCGTGACTTGGATGCACAACGCCTTCGGAAGGCGTGCTTGCGGCACTCGTCCGCTTGCACATGTGACCCGTGTCCGATCGGAAAGGGAATGGCTGACTTTGCGCTGACAGGGTCGCCATGTCATCCCTTTTCCAGGCTCCGCTCGAATAGGTCTGGCACTGTTGAGCAGCACCACGAGTACGAGACGACGATGAGTTCGTTGCTCGATTGGGTAGAGACATTCGAGCCCAAAGCTTGGGTGATGGAGCAGGTGCAGGGCTTTGACATGAAGTACGACAAGGACGCGTCCGACACGCCGATGCGCCGGCCGGGCAGACTGCGGTGTTGCAGTGTCGTAGAGTCTAAGTCTAAGTCTAAGTCTAAATTCAGGTCCGGGTTTAGGCGAATCTAGTTACTAGTTCTAGTCTAGAGTGTAGTTAGTTATTGAGGCTAGGCTAAGTCTAAGTCTAAGTCTTGGTCGCTAAGATTTAACCGAATTTAGCCTAGTGTCCTAGTCATGTCATAGTCTTAGTCTTGATCATAATCGTAAACTGAAGGTAGTGACTAACACGAAGACTGAGATTAAGATTAAGACTTCAAGACTTATGTCGTTGTTTCACAGACGGTCAGGGCTTTGTGGTGTGGGTTTGGTCTTAGTAGGGCTCGTGTCAGGCATCATGCATAGGCAGGCTCAGCAACCTTGCCTATCAGACTTAACGGCCTAATGCTCATGAACCTTATCGGCACATGTTCAGTCAAGTTCAGTCAGTCACTAGGCTAGAGTCAGCTAACGGCACCAGAAGCAGCTGGCAACCTAACTAACTCATAGAGTATGAAGGGGTGTGGAACAGTGCGGGAAATATTATTCTCGTTGGCAGTGCAAGAGTCAAGTCGGTGACTTCTCAATCTCGATTGCCCTCTAGGCCATTACCGTCAGCTGCGCTGCTACAATATTGCTATTCCGAGATTTCCCTCATGTGACAGGTTTCTTCAACGAATTGCAGAGCGGCAGTTCTCCATTGGTGGGGGCTACTGGCTCCTGAAGTTCGAATTAGACATGGCGTCCTGGATTGCGATCACACGGCCCAGGAGCTCCGGCTGTTGCTTGTTCACGGTTGCAGCTCTAGCTCACCTGAGCTTGCAGATGTGAGTTGTAGGAATGGCAAGTGGCGTGTGCACTGGTCACTGCTCACTGGACTACAGTGACGACAGTAACTAGAATAGCTAGAATCACTAGGTCACTAGGAATCAGCGGAGCCGACGTGTGTGTGTGTGTGTTTGTGAGACTGTTCGTGTCTGTTGCGACCTGTTGCCATCTTCTCAGCCAAGAACTGCGGTCACGCAGTCAAGAATCAGATGCTGGCTCTGTGTTTGTGTGGCAGACATCAGCTGGCAGCTGGCAGGTAACAGGTTAACAGGTAGCAGGGAGAGTAAGTCAGTAAGGTTCAGGGTCGGTTTGTAGGATCCAGAATTCAAGCAATTTTTCAGTTCAGTTCAGTTCCACATGGATCCAGAAAGATGGAATGCGCTTGCCGACGCACTACTGGCGGAGGCCGGTGATGGCCACCAAACACAGTTTCAAGAGGGGGCCGCTGAGGAGCCTGGGGCAGCGAGCGGGGTGGGGGAACTGCATGGTCATGGTCCGGAGTCCATATTCCAAGACGGTCAGAGCAGTCCTGAGGAGACGAGTTTATTTGGTTTGTTTGGCGAGGCGGATGCTTTGGAGTCCATGTGGGCAGATATGTTGAGGGAGGTTGGAGATGAGCGAGAAGCAGGTGCAGAAATGCCGGCTGGTCCTAACCGCGGCGGTGCTGCGGCGACAGAGGAGGTTCCTCGGGAGAGGGCAGCTAGCCCAGCTAGGCGTGGGCGTGGAAGGCCCAAGGGAACGTGTGGCAGCGCAGGATTGCGGGAAATGCTTGGAAGGATAGAGCATGACAGAGCCGAAGTTGCAGCTGCGGCTGCACCCGTTCCAGGCTCCGTGGAGTATGCGCGGGAGCAGAAACGACGGCGACTTCTGCAGCGGCGGTTGGATGCTGGTGCCACAGTGGTGGCATCCACAGATGCTGCATGCCTTTCGTTTTCCCCTGTTGCGGTTCCTTTGCCTGGCATAGGAGCACAATGCTGGCAAATCTTGCGAAGTGCAAGCATCTCTGGTTCCGAGCTTCACCGTGCACTGGTTGCAGTGGCTGAGGTGGGGCTACCGCAGTCGTCGTAGTCGTAGTCGTAGTCGTCGTCGTAGAGTAACTATGTAGTCATGTAGTCATGTCGTCGTCATGTCATATGTCATAGTCATAGTCACAGTCATAGTCGCAGTCGCAGTCGTAATCATCATGGATGTCTGCTGTCCGTTGGAGTCTCTGAGTCTACTTGCAAAGCTTGGATTCTAAAGTCTAAAGGTCTTAGGTCCGGGCGGAGGCTTGGGCCTTAGCCCCAGTCAGCCTTAGGCCTTAGGCCTAGTCTCAGATTAGATGGCTTGGTTCCTTTATTCAGTCACTCAGTATTCATTCACTCACTAATTATCACCTCAGGTTACTCATGACTAACTAACTAATTACTGATTACTGAATACTACTTATCTAATTACTAGTTGGTAGCCTTTAGTAACTTTAGTATCCTAGTTACTTAGTTACTAGCTATTATACTAGTTGCTAGTTACCATAGTTACTGAGTTGCGGGTTACTATGGATATTTTTTCTGCTAGTTACAGTGTACTAGTTACTAGTTACTAGTTACTAGTTCTTACTTAGTTACTAGTTGCTAGTTTAGTTACTAGTTACTGGTTACTAATAGTTACCAGTGACTGGTTTCTAGTCACATTAGTCATTAGTCACACATTACCGAGTGCTGGTTACTATAGTTCCCATTACAAGTTTCTAGATTCTAGTTTCCTCCTTACATTGCACAGTGATGATAAACTTCTGATAGACCATCAGGCGACGGCAACACAAGCGGCCAGCCAGCAGGGGATCAACTACGCCGAAATGCCTGCGCAGAAATGCCTGGAGCGTTTTTTTCAGCCTGGTCGCGCCTGCGAGACACAGGCACAGGTTGCCGAGCAAACGGGTGTCAACGCAGGCATTGTGGCTCCCTTGTTGCTGCAAGGCGCATGTGCTGCTATCGAGGCCGGCCGGTGTCTGTGGGGCAGCTTTCTGCGCCGTGTGTACGAAAAGATCGATGCTGGAGACTGGCGAGCTGTCTTCTTGTGTCACCGCGTTCGGTACGACGAAAGCCCGACCCTGACACGACTGCGCAACAAGCTGCTAGGGTCACAGGAGTCTGACACCTCACAGCATGGGAAGGTGGTACAGGCGGAGACATCCATTCATGTTCTCGTGGCCAACGAGGAGGGCCGGTTGTATGAGATGCGTGGGGAGGTACCCACAAGCCTTTCGGTGGTAGAGTCCACTACAGCGGAGTGTTTGAAGAGGGTGCGGACTCAAATTTTGGGCCTTCCCAGCATCCCGCATCTTAGTGCTCTTGCTAGCCGATTCCCTTGGTGTCTTCAACAAGCCACTGTGGACCGCTACGCTGCAAACTTCAAAGCAGAGACTTCGCTGCTGCATGACTTGATCGAGGTTGAGCCAGTTCAGCAGGAGAAGACATCTCCGCAACCAATGTCCAAGTTGACGCTCCCGTGCGATGTTCATAAGATGCATCAAGCGCACAAAGCCGCTTTCAGCCTCTGCAACGCAGATGTCAGTGGCATGATGTCCACCTCTCTTTCCCAGCACGGTGTAGGCGTCCTACACAAGTTGCGCCAGATCTTAGCGACTGTGCTCGAGCACCGCTTAGTTATCCACTACGGCGAACCACCTTGCCCGGCGCACCGGGAGGCCATATATGACTTGTATCTGCCTGTTGCAGATCCGACTTCTGAGGAAACAGTGGATGGGCAACTTGGTCATATGAGGAGGCGGTACATTCTATCACGGACACTCAACGGGCAGCTGCACCAACAAGAAGTTCAGCATTTCTGTGGCCCTGGCTGCTGCAGCAGCAGAGAGGAGACATTGCGGAAGCTTCAGGAATACACCACACTGGCACTCATTCCGTCCAAGCTCCCGAAATTTGCGGTCAATCGCTGGTGCCAGCAGACGGCGGCCATTTCGTGGACTGGACTGTTGAGCTCACATCACAACCTACTCCACCCTGTGCTGTTGGCCTACACTGGAGGGCCTACGCCTTCGCCAACTCTGCTGGCCGACGACTCTCTTACCGTTGCCCAACGCAACGCTGCCCTCATGGACGTGCTATGGGCAGAGCTGGCTGAGGATGGGGGGCATCAAGACGAGGCCGGGGGTGTGTCCGGCCGTAGAGGAAGATTTTGAATTTTGAATGAGTTCCGAGTCCTTATGCTGACCAGTTTCTGGTCCAGGGTGTATAAGTATAACAGTGTAACGCTAGAATAGTCATTAGTCACTAGTCTAGTCACTAGTCACTAGTCGGTGTACTCAGTGACCATTCACATCCGAGTAACTTTGTCCACTGATCAGGATCCGTCTGGAGTAGCTAGCAACTAGCAGATAGCTGCTGCTGCTAATCAGGAACTTAGCTGCTAGCTGCTAGCTGCTAGCTGCTAGCTCGGTTCTAGGTTCCAGTTATCATATAATATAGAAGGGTCCAGGGTCTAGAGTCTAGAGTCTGGAGTCTCAAGTTTAAAGTTTCTAAAAAGTCCCTAAGGCTGAGGCCTAAGGAGTCCAGGGCTCGGCTAGGTCTATTAGCATGAAAGGCCGGCGATGCGGCCGAGATGAGTGACGGGGGAGACGGCCAGGCTGACGGCGGTGGCGTGCAGACAGACGTTGCGGACCAACCAGATTGGGTGAAGATGAACAAGAAATTTCGGCAGAAGTCCGGTTTGTGGTGCGGCTCGCTGCCAGGGCCTCGCATGGTGATGCTGGCGATGACCGTTCGAGCCGCTGAGAAAGGGATGGCTCTCTTGCTTGACATGGCCGGAGACGAGTGGCATTTGCGGCAGCGGTGGCGTGCTGCGCAAGGTGCCGGGACTGTCGAAAAGTACACTACCGTAGCTGCTCTGTTCCTTCATGGTGGTTCGTCCCGGCGTGTGCCTCATGTAGGGCCCGGGGCATCATTAGGTCACCGGGGTTGTTTTGAAACTAATGTGTAACTGTAGGAACTAACTAAGTAACTAGCAGCTAGCAGCAGCTAGCAGCAGCTAGCTAGCACAGCCATTTTACCCGCGGTCGTTTCATGCCGCGCGGCTTGGTAAGCTTTCCATCCTTAGCACGGGATGCAGTGTGCAGTGTAGAGTGTAGAGTAGAGTAGAGTCTGTAGAGATAGTGATAGTGATAGTGATAGTGATAGTGCATGTAGAGTGTAGAGGACCAGTGTACGTGTGAATAGTGCAAGTATAGTGACAATCACTACAGAACAAAATGATACTGATGATGCTATTAAGCTATTACTTATTACTAGCGGCGTAGTCAGCCAGAAAACCCGCGTGAGATTGCAGGCTTGACCAGAGACTACCGCATGCTCGTCGCAGCCAAAGGCACCGTGACGGAGAGAACATTCCAGGACATCGTCCAATGCTTGCAGGACACACCTGCAGCGCTTGCTGCAGTGAACTGGACAGCAGAGATTCGTTGCCTCGGGTTCAGACTTCTCAGCAGACTAGGATGTGGTGTGCACGCACTCTTGCGAGTGCCGCATGCCGGCCACCCGTACTCCCTCTTCCAGATCCTGCTGGGAGAACGGCCTCTGAGCTTGGCTTGCTTGCGAGACGAGCTGGCACATGCTTTTTTCGAGCGCTTTCAGGCAGAGCCCGACTCCTTCTCTGACGACGCTCTAGGCGTTCTGGAAGTGCTCGCGGATCTCCTGGAGATCGACATAGCTCAAGTGGAGGCCAAGCATGCTGCCGTGCTGCGCTTGGCAATGAAGAAGTCAATGCAGACATGGACATTGGATTTTCAACACTTAGCAGCCGAATGGTCCTGCCGGCAGGTGGCTGCAGCACGACCTGCCACAGCGGAGCCCGAGCCAGCAGCTCACCAACGACGTGCCGACGAAGGGCCCCGCGAGAGGACACGTGGTTTCCACAAGGACGGGAAGAGGAAGCAGAACAAGGGCTCCGGAGGTGGAGCTTATCGTGCCTTCATTCACGACCGCTATCGAGGCCGGTTCTTGACGCCCCAGTTGCTACGTGAGGCGTCTGTCCTCTACAAGCAGCTGTCCGATGAGGAGAAAGCTGCTTACGAGGACCTAGGCCAACGAGGAAAGATGTCTTGGTCGGCCGGTTTCAAGGCATTTGCAACCCCCGCGCCTGACGCAGGTGGCTTGTGCCGCAGGAATGTTGTAGGGCGTCCAGGGCGTAGGGCGTAGGGCGTAGGGCTTGGGCAACGTACTGCCAACGTAAGGCATGGGTGGGGTTGCTAGAGTCTAGAGAGTCTAGAGTCTAGAGTCTAGAGTCTAGAGTCCAGAG